TATACTGTATGGAACGGAATCTATTTTTATTTATATACTGAGCCGTGCAATTTAAAAGAAGCACAAAAAGAAGGAAGGAAGCCATTTTGGACACTATCGGACCTCGTGGTCAGCGTAATTATGACCTAGGATGAGGACTGGACCACCGCAAGGTCGCTCTCGTATTTCTGGCTGGACAGCGTCTTGCTACGTGGAAGAGATAACGACTTGATACCCAGAGTACAATAGTCCTACGACGTACGAGTTGGGTGAGTCAACTTATAAGCTCTGCAACTTAACTTTATTCTGGTCTATTAAAATAATTAATTGGATTATTTAGATTCTTTCTATTTAGATTATTATTTTCATATCCTGTAATTTTGGACGATTTAGATTTATATGTATATGGAACGAGTTAACTAGCATATAATTTCTACGTTTATATACATACAGGATGTCCGGTAATAATCGCCCAAAATCTTGTAGGCTGGTAGAGCAGATTAAATTGAACAGAAAAGTCCTCTATCATTTTGCAAAATTCGCAATCGTTAACGAGATATTAATTTTTAAAGATTGGCGAATAAACGCGTATCCGTCCGCCATACCGCTGAATGCAGGCACGCGGCGAGATATGACCGTCCCACCGCTCGTCAACTACCGGCTAGCTGGGCTAGCAACTATAACCAGCGATGGAGCGGTCGTATCTCGCCGCGCGCCTGCATTCAGCAGTAGGCGGAAGGATACGCGTTTATTCGCCGATCTTCAAAAATTAATATCTCGTTAACGATTGCGAATTTTGCAAAATGGTAGAGGACTTTTCGATTCAGTTTAATCTGTTCTACCAGCCCACGAGATTTTGGGCAGTTATTACCGCATTCTGTATATGCTAGACTTAAAACCGCACAGACATATACATATATGTCTATGCTTAAAACCAAGATCTTTCTATTCATTTTTACATTTATTTAGGAAATTAAATACTTTTCTGTTTAAAAAATCAATAGAAAACGATAGGATTTCCCAAATATTTTATCGTGTTTTATCGTATCTATCGTTCCACTTTTTCTATTCTGAAAGAAATGTTATCGTTTTCTATCGTTTTCTGGGTACGTTCCTTTTGGACGCTCATGCGCTGATGTAAGCGCTCACGCTTATAAGCACTATTTTCTGCCGTTCCTTTTAAAATTTAAGTGCTCATACGATTGTCAGTAAAGCCGTTCCCTTTGGCATTTGTGAGTGACTGTGAGCCAGTGAGATATCATACTGGAGTAAGCCTTGGGGTGGTGGGGATGGCCGAACTGTGCAACAGTAGTGCGAGAATGACAGCCATGCAGCTTGGGGATATCTGCCTCACTTTAACTGACATTATTAAAGTGAGGCAGCAATCCCCAAGCCGCATGGCTGTCACTCTCAAACAGCGGCTACCCCCACCACGCGTTTTCTTAGGGAAGGCTCACTCCAGTATGTGTATATATATCTCACTGCTGTGAGCGTATCGAGATGGCAATTGAAAGTGATATGATTATGTTTTATATAATTATGTTAGCAAATGTTGAATTAGATATAATATGTTTTAATGAAGATAGGATAATATTCTTTTTACTTATGATTATACAGCTATTGCAATGCGAAGCTTATAAGCATTTGCAGCGCGTGAGCGTTCAAAAGGAACATAGCCTTTATCATTATCTGCGCCGTCGCGGCGAGCCAACCGAGCGCGAGTCGTCGTCACTGGCGCCCAATCGCGGGCAGCCTTTCCGCGCGCTGCTCAATTTGGCGCGCTCGCGCAGAGCCGTTCCACGCGACCAAGGCATGGGGCGGCAAGAGATCGTGTCCTTCTAGAGGGTTCCGATTACTGTTGTTGCCACCCGGTAAAATTTAACCGCCTTTGCAAGCAACAGAAAAGTGAGAACCTTCTAGAAGGAGACGCGCGAGAAGGGTGCGACCTGGGGGAGGTCGCATTCTTTCCCACGGACAGATCGATCGAAAAACAAGTGCCCGTTTGGAGCTCTACCTCCCCAGTCATGCTTAAGTTAAAAAAGTTGTTTTTCTGCAAATTGTATATCCGTGTATCTCGGAATTACATATTCAAAATAATTTTGATTCTTTATATCTTTCCATTACGTCTTCTAACCTCTATAAATAATTTGGCAATGGTTCTATATTAGATCGTCCATGATAAAATTTATTATATTATTTATGTCGTATCCTTTATCCATTGCAATTAATAATGCTGCTTCTATTATTTTTAATAGATATCACTTTTACAGGTTATATCAAAGGTATACACAGTATCGCACAAAGTAGAGTTCAGCAAAACACTCACAACTGTTGCAACGCATACACTAATCGCTTTTAGGCTGCGTTCCCACTGAGCGCGTCACGCGTCGCGTCGTCCGTCGCGTCACGATTAATTGACCAAAATATTCCATTTTATTGCATGATTTGCCGCGCAACTTCTTGCAAGCATCAATTAGATTATTCGACATTCTAGAGATAAAAGAATTTTTCTTGGTATGAAATCTTGGATTGCACGGCAAGTTACGTAATAAAATGGGATGTTTTGATTGGTCAATTCGGATGACGCGACGCGTGACGCGCTCAGTGGGAACGCAGCCTAATTCTTCGTTTCATTCTACTGAACGCAGCCATTGTTCTCCGTTTTACCATAGAGATAGAGACCCTTTACAGAGTCTGGCACCGGTGTGAAACCAGCTGTCGAACTAATAACTTCAACAGTTTTTGAATACGTCATTCGATTGCTTATAGTCGTTTGCTAATTTTTGCATCTATTTTTATTTTGTTTGCATATTAATTATTTTGGGTAAAAGATTGAAAATAAAATTTGGACAAGTGTAACGGCTGTAACCGCTATTTGAAACCTAATTTATCTCATAATTTCATAAATATTTCGGTGCTAAAATGTTTGCTAGTCGTTTGTTAGATCCGTATATACAAGTATTTTTTCTATTTTATCGATAAATTGTCCCATATTTTATTTATTAATAGCTTTTAATAATCAAGTAACTGACACAAACAAGGACAGCGCATGCACATCAAGTTGCCTAAAAATAACCAAAATTAA